TTTCACTTTTTTCAGCCTATGCATGGGGTTATTTTTATGCGTTCGTTATGCTAATAAAAGTCTATAAATAAAAGTTTTATTATCAGCGAGTTGTTTTTTTTTGTCCATTCAAGCAATTGACGCTTATTTCGAAAGTGAAAGTATAACGCGCACGCATTTAAAAGCTATTTAACCCCCCCCCCGCCCTGCCCTCCACGGTGACACCGGGATTACCGGTGTTGTCACACGTCGATTAACCGGTGGGAAATTTTCCTCACCGCGGCAACCCTAGCCTGAAGGGGGCGCTGTCTTATATCGTTGGAATCCTTGGACAAAAACGCATGGATGACGAAACTTTCAGGTAATTTCAATTTTTTGGAAAAAGTCCTTGGTTTTTCGCCCAATCGCAACCAACCCAATGCAGCAAGATTCTCTAGAGTCTGATTGTCCGTAATTATCAAAAAAGTTGCAATTTCAAATTTGACCTCTGCGACGGGACACCAAAAAGTTTGAAGTGGGCGGAGCCACTTTAACTAAAATGGCTATCCCTCTGAACGGAAAGAGACAATTTCACCAAACATGGTACACCAATGTATGCAATAGGTTCGTGGTCGTGTGAAAAAGTACAAGGCGACTGGCCACTTGGTGGCGCTATAACATGGAAAAAAACATAAAAATGGGTTTGACTACGCGACCCTGAGTCTAATTGACTTGAAAATTGGCATGCAGTGTCTTCGTCCAAGGACATTCAAGTATGTCGGCCGGTGGCAACCAGTGAAGTTTGTGCAGCCGTCAGACGAGGTCAACGGAGGCCGACCGGGGCAAAACTCACTGAGCCTGTTTGACTCTCTACCCTCGAGAAATCCCAAAGAAACGCTGAGCAACTTTGCCTCTAGGACCACTGCACTGCAGTCAATTGAGTCATTCGTTAAAAGTTGGAGATTAGTCCATAAACCAGCTTTTGCGAACCAGTCCTAGTCCTGAACCTCGATAAATCCCCTGCGCCACAATTCTCTGTAGGCTACTCTCTAGAATAGATCAATAATTATCAAAAATGGTGAATTTTACGTTTTGAATAGCTATAAGGGTCATTTAGAAAAAAAGGGTGTGGCAAAACATACTCAAAAGCCTATAAGACCCTGTTTACACAAGAACGCTCGCGGGTGAAAACGTAAAAATATTTTATCGGATGTGCCTTTCGTTTACACGGTGACGGCGTTTTTTGGGGCTTAAAAACGCAAAAAAGTGAAACCACACTCCAGAGTGGAAATCTTAAAAACGCTCCACCGCCGCGTTCCCGTGTAAAGGCTAAAAACGCAAATGTCTGCTTGACAGTGAAGGTTGTACGCAGGTGCGCGGACTTGGTGTTGTTGTAGTATGCACTCCTAGCCGCCTGGAGTGCATACTACATTGAATTTCACACACTTTTCCATCATCATATGCACGCAGATTTCCCATCCAAAACGCTCGTCTAAACGCAGAATAAAAAGTGATAACGCAACGCCACTTTTGCGTTTTCTCTTCAGAATCGTTTCCGTGTAAACATAGCCTAAATCTAAAGCGAAAACGCCAAACTTATCGAGACATCAGGTGAACACATGCCACATTAGAAACAAGCATGCAAACTTGTATGGAGATTTGGACCATAGGGGGCGCTACAACTGTTAAAAGCATATATATCCTATGGTAAATTGCCTGTATTGGCTGTAAATGGTCTTTTCCTACCATGATCGAGATGCTTTTTGCATTTACGCGCATGTGCATAAAGACCTTAAGCGCCTGATATATTTAGTGTGCATGTCTCACCCTTGGTAGTGTCCGTGTGTTGTCTGGCGGTCAGTGTGGACACAGAGTTGTTATTGTTGTCCTCCATGATGATCGCCTGACCCTCAGCACATGCTCCTGCCCGACACACACTCACACTGGGTGTGTGTGACTGAGATACGAGGATCTGTATCGCACGAGATGACTGAGAAATGACACGCAGCCCAACCTCAGAAACACACTTGATCACTTCTGAGGGGACGCCAGCATTCAACACACCTGACCAGCGCTTTAACCTTGTTGTAGCGAGCAGAAAGTGGCGACTGATCATGTCCAGTCAAACTGGAGTCTAATGGTTAGTGAGACAGTAGTTAATGTCGCAGATGATTTAAGCGAAGTGCAAGCTCGTGATCTTGAGGCGCATTTCTGCATGAAGAAAGATTACACTGTACTGCAGGAGAAACACAACACGACACACATGGTACGGGCAGTCAGAGGGGACACGCGGTGCTCGAAAAGCGTTCAAAAACAACAACGCTGACGGTATACTTTTAAAAAGAATATTTTTAAACATTATTACAAAATGTCTCGCATCATTTAGCCTACTCACTTTCGTGGAGTTTCAAACCCACCAATTTCTTCAGTGCAACACACAAATTAGAAGACGGCTCGACTCTGCTGTTTATGATCTTTCATGACTTGTGCACTCAGGGCTGCCAAACTTCGCAGTAAGTGTGAGATATGGCCATAGTGAGTTTCACACAATCGACACTTTTCACGCGCTCTTTCTCACGCAGAGCAAAATCGCGAAGCAAAACTGACACCGACAGACAACACAGAGATGGTTACTACTTATATGAAACAAATTCTCAAGCTCTCGTCTTCTGTCAATGTCATTACGAAATTCAAATATTATTAAGTACAGTTTGGCGCTTGTGAGTGTGTCGCGACAGATCTCTGTGGAGCCTCGGTTGGTTCCAGCGGCGCGCGAACCGACCATCTCTTGCTGTTTAGTTTAGTAAATGAACAATAAGTTTAAATATACATGCCTCATACAATATAACTTACATGCCTCATACATAATCTCGATCAATCAGTGTTTTTCAAACGGGGAAAGAGGCCAATAAAACAGATGTCACATAACGTTACATTTACCTCAGGAAAGCCACATTATTAATGACCATAGCACGTTAGTTGGCTTTGCTAAATATGTGCAGTGCACATATATTTTATTTTTACTTTAAGTTATAACGTTGTTATTATAATAAAAATGCATTACATTTCATTTGAGTTGTTATTTTAAACCTTTAATAATAGGCCTAATAGCTGGCTACAGGGATCTCTGTATTTTTACAGCATTAGCTGAGGTACTTCTATTCTTGAGAAAATTAACATGTATTTAAGTTACTGTACCTAATATTGGTCCACATTAATCGATAATATCGGAATCAAATCACAAGAATTTTATAATTCTCACTCCAGGCTAAACTCTTCCCTTGTACTGTAAATATATCCTGTGGACTTTTTTTGTGCATCAAAACTTGTGGAAAACGCATACGAAAGTCACAATCCTAATATAGGCTAACATAACTTTTTTAAATTTGCAATGATATAGCCTATGTGTGGAAGCTTGTATCCATGGAATAAATAAAAAAAGATAATGTGACTTTTAATATCAAAATTCAGTTCAGGCAGATTCTTAAGCAAAGCCTTTGCCAGAGTTATGAAGCTGCATTTTCGTGTCTTGAATTGCTTGTTTTGTTCTTTGTATCCAGTCTTTCCTTCTGCCACACTGAGGCCTTTATTTCCAGACAAAAATAAATGTAAAAAACATGACACGGACAAAGTGAAAAGGAAATGTTGATTGACGTGATGATTAACATGTTATAAAAAATTATTAGTATAAAATAGTTCAAAGAGTCAAAAAGAGCCCAGAAAAAGACAAAGGCACAGTTTAAATAAACCAGATAAGCGGAACAGAAACTCATTTAGTGAGCCGTGAAAGCTTTTGTTTGTTCAGACCTTGAACTGCCGGATTATTTCACTTTCACACACACACACTCACACACTCGCTGTGGGAAGAAACTCGGTGTGTGTACAGTAGGTGAGCACACATGTATTGTGATAGCATGGGTATTGTTTGCATTGCTGCTTTGTGATTGGCTGTGTTCTCTCACACTCCCTGGTGTGTTTGTGTGTGTGGTGTAACACTAGATGTCCGCTTGGGTTTCAGCACAACTCCCTGGGCCCAGAAGTTCACGGAAACAGGTGTCAGGACAGGACCGGTTCCCGACCCGCTCATCCAGGTGAGGGCGACGCTCGTGGCCTGAGGTTTCCCTGAGAGCCTCCGGCTGGAGTTTGAGGTGAGCCAATCATGAGCCTGTTTAACGGGGACAGGGCTTCAGTTACACACCATTCTCTCCGATCAATGCACTGCTTGCTGGATCACAATGCTAGAAACCTTTCCTCTGTAATTACAAAGCTCCGGTTCCACTGATGCTGGTTTGACAGAGCTGTGCTGAGCAAATATTTAAAGAACTGCTTGATCATGTGACTAACCTTGTATCTGTGAATGCCTTCACAGTTCTGTGAAAATAAACATGTGTGTTGTTCTGAAACATGATGAGTTACTCTTCCAGTCTCTTACCTGCGTGTGTTCCTGATGTACACGATTCATGCAGTGAGAGACAGTCTATAAAGAAGATGCACATTAAAGCAGCAATTCACACAAAAAGTCATTACAAATCAGTGTAATTATTAAATTTTTTTTTTTGATTAATTTTATTTTTCGAAGGATCATCTCTTTACCCACAACTGTGACTATGGAAGGTTGTTTCTGTCACAGAATAATAATTAAAAAAAATTGCGATAATTAACTACTTTTTTATTTCAAGAAAACGAGGTTATGGAAGCTTGTTTCCACCGCTGAATAAAATAAATAAATAAATAATTGTGACTTTTTATCTCACAATCGTGAGATATGACATCAGAATCCTGAGAAATTAAGTCGCAATTGCGAGAAAAAAGACAGATATGACTTTTTAAGACAATTTGGCGCAATTACAAGTTTAAATCTCACAATTCTGAGAAAAGAAGTCAAAATTGTGAGATTTAAACTTGCAATTGCGCCAAATTATGCGCAATTATCAGGCCAAATAAGGGGAAAAAACGCAATTTCAACAACACGCAATTGCGACTTTATATCACTCAATTCTGACTTTATACCATGCAATTCTGACTTTATATCTCGCAATTCTGACTTTATATCTCGCAATTCTGACTTTATACCATGCAATTCTGACTTTATATCTCGCAATTCTGACTTTATATCTCGCAATTCTGACTTTATATCACGCAATTCTGACTTTATATCTCGCAATTCTGACTTTATATCTCGCAATTCTGACTTTATATCATGCAATTCTGACTTTATATCACGCAATTCTGACTTTATATCACGCAATTCTGACTTTATATCTCGCAATTCTGACTTTATATCTCGCAATTCTGACTTTATATCTCGCAATTCTGACTTTATATCATGCAATTCTGACTTTATATCACGCAATTCTGACTTTATATCTCGCAATTCTGACTTTATATCACTCAATTCTGACTTTATATCTCGCAATTCTGACTTTATATCACGCAATTGTGACTTTATATCATGCAATTCTGACTTCATATCTCGCAATTCTGACTTTTTCTCACTCAATTCTGACTTTATATCTCGCAATTCTGACTTTTTATCATTCAGTTCTGACTATATCTCGCAATTGTGACTTTATATCATGCAATTGTGACTTTATATCATGCAATTCTGACTTTATATCACTCAATTCTGACTTTATATCACGCAATTCTGACTTTATATCACTCAATTCTGACTTTATATCTCGCAATTCTGACTTTATATCTCGCAATTCTGACTTTATATCTCGCAATTCTGACTTTATATCTCGCAATTCTGACTTTATATCTCGCAATTCTGACTTTATATCTCGCAATTCTGACTTTATATCATGCAATTCTGACTTTATATCACGCAATTCTGACTTTATATCACGCAATTCTGACTTTATATCTCGCAATTCTGACTTTATATCTCGCAATTCTGAGTTTATATCATGCAATTCTGACTTTATATCTCGCAATTCTGACTTTATATCTCGCAATTCTGACTTTTTATCTTGCCATTCTGAGTTTATATCATGCAATTCTGACTTTATATCACTCAATTCTGACTTTATATCACGCAATTCTGACTTTATATCACGCAATTCTGACTTTATATCACGCAATTCTGACTTTATATCACGCAATTCTGACTTTATATCTCGCAATTCTGACTTTATATCTCGCAATTCTGACTTTATATCTCGCAATTCTGACTTTATATCTCGCAATTCTGACTTTATATCTCGCAATTCTGACTTTATATCTCGCAATTCTGACTTTATATCACGCAATTCTGACTTTATATCTCGCAATTCTGACTTTATATCACGCAATTCTGACTTTATATCTCGCAATTCTGACTTTATATCACGCAATTCTGACTTTATATCTCGCAATTCTGACTTTATATCTCGCAATTCTGACTTTATATCTCGCAATTCTGACTTTATATCACGCAATTCTGACTTTATATCACGCAATTCTGACTTTATATCACGCAATTCTGATTTTATATCTCGCAATTCTGACTTTATATCTCGCAATTCTGACTTTATATCATGCAATTCTGACTTTATATCACGCAATTCTGACTTTATATCTCGCAATTCTGACTTTATATCTCGCAATTCTGACTTTGTCTCGCAATTCTGACTTTACATCACGCAATTCTGACTTTATATCTCGCAATTCTGACTTTATATCTCGCAATTCTGACTTTATATCTCGCAATTCTGACTTTATATCACGCAATTCTGACTTTGTCTCGCAATTCTGACTTTATATCACGCAATTCTGACTTTATATCTCGCAATTCTGACTTTATATCACGCAATTCTGACTTTATATCTCACAATTCTGACTTTTTGTCTCGCAATTCTGACTTTATATCACGCAATTCTGAATTTTTATCTCGCAATTGTGACTTTATATCTCGCAATTCTGACTTTATATCTCGCAATTCTGACTTTATATCACTCAATTCTGACTTTATATCTCGCAATTCTGACTTCATATCTAGCAATTCTGACTTTATATCTCACAATTCTGACTTTATATCTCGCAATTCTGACTTTATATCTCGCAATTCTGACTTTACATCACGCAATTCAGACTTTATATCACGCAATTCTGACTTTATATCTCGCAATTCTGACTTTATATCTCGCAATTCTGACTTTATATCTCGCAATTCTGACTTTATATCTCGCAATTCTGACTTTATATCTCGCAATTCTGACTATATCTCGCAATTCTGACTTTATATCACTCAATTCTGACTTTATATCACGCAATTCTGACTTTATATCTCGCAATTCTGACTTTATATCTCGCAATTCTGACTTTATATCATGCAATTCTGACTTTATATCACGCAATTCTGACTTTATATCACGCAATTCTGACTTTATATCTCGCAATTCTGACTTTATATCTCGCAATTCTGACTTTATATCTCGCAATTCTGACTTTATATCACGCAATTCTGACTTTATATCACGCAATTCTGACTTTATATCTCGCAATTCTGACTTTATATCTCGCAATTCTGACTTTATATCTCGCAATTGTGACTTTATATCTTGCAATTCTGACTTTATATCACTCAATTCTGACTTTATATCACGCAATTCTGACTTTATATCTCGCAATTCTGACTTTATATCTCGCAATTCTGACTTTATATCACGCAATTCTGACTTTATATCACGCAATTCTGACTTTATATCTCGCAATTCTGACTTTATATCTCGCAATTCTGACTTTATATCTCGCAATTGTGAATTTATATCTTGCAATTACGACTTTATATCACACAATTGTGACTTTATATCACGCAATTGTGACTTTATATCTCGCAATTCTGACTTTATATCTCTCAATTCTGACTTTATATCTTGCAATTCTGACTTTATATCTCGCAATTCTGACTTTATATCTCGCAATTCTGACTTTATATCTCGCAATTCTGACTTTATATCACGCAATTCTGACTTTATATCACGCAATTCTGACTTTATATTACGCAATTCTGACTTTATATCTCGCAATTCTGACTTTATATCTCGCAATTCTGACTTTATATCTCGCAATTCTGACTTTATATCACGTAATTCTGACTTTATATCACGCAATTCTGACTTTATATCACGCAATTCCGACTTTATATCTCGCAATTCTGACTTTATATCACATAATTCTGACTTTATATCTCGCAATTCTGACTTTATATCTCGCAATTCTGACTTTATATCTCGCAATTCTGACTATATCTCGCAATTCTGACTTTATATCACGCAATTCTGACTTTATATCACGCAATTCTGACTTTATATCACGCAATTCTGATTTTATATCTCGCAATTCTGACTTTATATCTCGCAATTCTGACTTTATATCATGCAATTCTGACTTTATATCACGCAATTCTGACTTTATATCTCGCAATTCTGACTTTATATCTCGCAATTCTGACTTTGTCTCGCAATTCTGACTTTACATCACGCAATTCTGACTTTATATCTCGCAATTCTGACTTTATATCTCGCAATTCTGACTTTATATCTCGCAATTCTGACTTTATATCACGCAATTCTGACTTTGTCTCGCAATTCTGACTTTATATCACGCAATTCTGACTTTATATCTCGCAATTCTGACTTTATATCACGCAATTCTGACTTTATATCTCACAATTCTGACTTTATATCACGCAATTCTGACTTTATATCTCACAATTCTGACTTTATATCTCACAATTCTGACTTTATATCTCGCAATTCTGACTTTATATCTCTTAATTCTGACTTTATATCTCGCAATTCTGACTTTATATCACGCAATTCTGACTTTATATCTCGCAATTCTGACTTTATATCACACAATTCTGACTTTATATCTCGCAATTCTGACTTTATATCACGCAATTCTGACTTTATATCTCGCAATTGCGACTTTATATCTCGCAATTCTGACTTTATATCTCACAATTCTGACTTTATATCTCACAATTCTGACTTTATATCTCGCAATTCTGATTTTATATCTCGCAATTCTGATTTTATATCTCGCAATTCTGACTTTATATCACGCAATTCTGATTTTATATCACGCAATTCTGACTTTATATATCGCAATTCTGACTTTATATCTCGCAATTATGACTTTATATATCGCAATTCTGACTTTATATCTCGCAATTCTGACTTTATATCACGCAACTCTGAGAAAAAGTCAGAATAGTGAGATAAAAACTCACAATTACCGTTTTTTATTTCTGATTCTGTGGCGGAAACAAGCTTCCATGCGAGCTTCCACAGTGACCACAACATTTTTATTTTTCTATAATTTTTCAGTGAAACGAGCTCTATAGAAGTGAGAAGCACGTACTGCCCGCGCTCGAACACGCGAAAAACACGTCAGACTCAACGGGATTCAAAGGCCCCGATATTCTAACGGTGAAGTTTTTTTTCCCATTATTTGCTTATAAGTAAAAAGTTGAAAACACCTATGCAGTGATATACTTTTAATGAACATTTCAACTTCACCCACATTTGAATACGTAAATGTGCAGCACACAATCCTCTAAATAACAAAATAACAAAACTGACAGCCGTCATTTCATTGTGTTGAGTTTCTGTTTGCCCGTTTAGTTAGATCCACTTTCCCAAACTCCTGCTCCTTATTGGTTGTCATGGTTACTTATTTGTTTTGGCTAGTGGTTGACTCCTTCCACCTGTGTATGTGTGTGACTGTCAGTTTGTGTGTGAGAGAGAGGTAGTGTGTGTGTGCATGTTTTTATATCCCGGTGGGGACTAAAACCTGAAGGCACACAGACTCATGGGGCCTCGTGTCACTGTGGGGACCTAGATTGAGTCTTCATGGGTAAACACACTTATAAATCATACAGAATATTTTTTTTTAATGTAAAAATGCAGAATGTTTCCTGTGATAGTTAGGGTTAGTGTGTGTGTGTGTTTGTGATGGGTAAGGGGATGAAATATACAGTTTGTACTGTATAAAAACCATTACGTCTATGGAGAGTCCTCACAAAGATAGTAAACCAGACGTGTGTGTGAGTGTGACTGTGTGTGGTGTGTGTGTACAGTATGTGACTAAGGCCAATCTTAGCATCAAGAGGCTTTAAAAGCATAAGAGTCACCGTATCCTAAATCCCCGTTAGTTTCTGTGGTCCTCAGGCATTGGCCAGCGGGCAGATCAGAACAGGCTATATTTACCCTCAGGTATTAGCCCAGATCACCTGCCTGTGTGCCTGCGGTACACACTCTCTCAGATCCGAGTGTGTGTTTGCCGGTCCAGGACAGTTCTGGACAGTGATAATCCCCTGAGATCTGTACAGTCATGCTCTGGGCTTTCACAGGAGCGTCAGCGGAAGCAGACGCGGCACTAGCGGAAGAACATCTCGCAGCCTAGCACACACTACACCAGGCTAATGAGTGTTTGCAGGTGAGCCCCGGAGAACAGCATCACACAGGTACACACACACACACACACACCTCTTCATCTGCTCAGTAATACCTTTGCCCTAAACTCTCTGTTCTCTCTCCGTCTGTGTGTCGCACCCTGAATCACGGCGGATGCGATGGATTATGGCCGTATCATCTGCCCGTCCTCCGGTGAGTGCGAGTTCTGTTCTGACACACACACTACGAGTGTATTCATGTGTCTCACCGTCATAAAACCTTCTCATCAACATACAACAAAAGAGCTTTCTGCACTCTAAAAATCACTGGGTTCAAAACAACCCATTTTGGGTGGGTGCTTTTCAACCCAAGGGCTGGGTAAATATTGGGTTAATTTTACCCAGCAAATTGAGTTGTTTATTAAACCCAGCATAATGGGTTAATCATTTTTACTTGTACTATTTTGTTTATACTTCATACGTGGATTAATGTTTACGAATGAACTCTCTTTAAAAAAATACTCCACGCAACCTCTGGTTTGCATGATAATTCCTTTATTTTTGATCATATTTTACACAGTATAGAATCTTTATATAGTTTTTGAACAAATAATGCCCACATTTAAAGGGATAGTTCACTTTGAAATTAATTTTTCATACCAAAGAGCATATTTTCATAATTTTCATACCAAAGAGCATGCACAGAGAAGTCCAAATTAAACATGATTTAATGACTCGTAAATGTAAGTATACATTGATGGCCTAAGACACGAAACGAGCGGTTTGTGTGAGAAAACCAACAGTATTTATATTGTTTTTTTATCGAATATTCAGCCCGTTCTCATCCCATATACTGACGCTTTTGATAATGCAACGTGACATCCTCAACGCATTCTCATCCTAAGACGTCATAGTGACGCTTTTGACAATGCGTATACATCCAACGCACATGGCGCCCTTTAGCGTCAATATGAGACGCAGATATATATGGGCCTCCTAGTGGTCTAACCCTAACCCTACCCCAGACCTAAACCTACCCATAACCGAAGCGGGTTATATTGACGCTAAACATGCATTCATTTAAATTTCAAGCAGACTTCAAATAAGACGTACACAGTGATGTGAGATGGTGTGCTTTTCTGTTTTTAGTGTGGTTTGTTTTGGAGGGAAACACAGAGCTTTGGTCTGGTGCATTATGGGTATGTGCTCATGTGTTCAGGAAGCATTCAGTTAGCTTCACTTCACTGATGACCCGGTTACGACAAACACCTTTAGCTGAGGAAACCCTTAGTTTATAAAATGGTATACTATGGTTTATCCGATGATGCTTTCACCTGCTAGTAAAAGTTTTTCCGCCGTTGTTACCAGATGCTAATATGAGTGAGAGGCCGGATGGGCCCTTAATCACAGGTGATAACCTGAGTTATATAAATTCAAGTTGATTGGGAAACTTTTTCCATTTATCTCAATAGCAAAAAGTGTCCAACTAAATCAACCTGAATTCATCCCTATACTTTAAGTAGCATCGTAGTTTGGTCTGTTTATCTGTCATTAAAGAAATTAAACTAAGAAAGGTTTTTACTAGGTTTGAAGGAGATGTTCAGATGTTTAATGTATTGTAGTTTAGAGCAGTTACAATAACTGCATGGTGAATAAAACCTGTATTACAGTTTTTTTTTTTTATATTCGCTTTGGTACTATTTTCACAAGTAAGGTGTACATTTTCAAAACTCTTAGTACAAAAATCCAAACTGATCACACTTGTAACGCAGCTAGTCATTCTTTCAAAACCTGATGTAATGCTTTCATTCAGTTGCACATGTTTTCAGTCCACATAATCATTATTTCAAACACAATTGTAATATGTAATGAGAACATTTGGTTTAATCACTGAAACACAACAATATGATCTTTTTTCAGTTTAGTACTTTTAACAATCAGTTCATCCAACAGCAAACAATGCGAGATACACGTTTCAAATCGGCCTTAGAAGTGCTGAAATGAATATGCTACAGTACTATAAAAGACATAGTTTTACTGTAACATTAGGCAATACACTTACAGTACCCAACATTTATATAATCTATCATTTCCAAATATCCATCATATATGAAATCAAGTGAAGGATCAATGAAGACATCCTCTACAATCATTTACAGTTAGTGGCCAATTGTGGTTACCACTATGTGAAATCAATTAGCTATGACGAGTATTCATCATGTGTGGTTATATGTAATCTAAATATTCATACAAACACACATTTTATTTCTGTAGTTCTCAGAATCCATATACTGTATATTGCTGAAATGAAAATCTATAGGTTTACCAAATAATTAATTGATTAACCATTAAGATCTGTTGGATTAAATAATAGACAAAAGTATTAAACTGAACAAAAAGAGATGCAAATCAAAAGTTTGATAGTAAGAGCTTTACTGTGAATGAAACAATAATGTAGATAAAACACTTATTTTGTGTTGTGAAAAGGATACTTTGTGATTGTGTGAATACTAACACAGTTGAAAAAACATGATGAAATGTTTGAAAAAAGTGCACTTTTGATGATCTGTTGTGATATTAGCACTACGAGTTTTGAAAATAGTACCAAAGTGAATAAAAAAAACGGTATAACTTGATAAGTTACTTCAGTGCTCAGTTGACTATCGTGTAGGTGAAGTACTCAGTTAGAGTGGATTATTATTTGACTAGTTTTTTCTCGCTCCTTTGTGTCTTTGAGTGTATGATCCACTAGTTAGCGCTATTTCACTAAGAGTCAACAAGCGTCGCCACGGTCCCTTTTGTCCGCAGTTTGGCACTGGCAGTCAACATCCTTATTATGAACCGCTCCCAGAGCCCACCAATAGGAGACGAGTATTCCAGACAGACAGCGAGTCCCACCAATTACATTTCGAGTTTGTTTTCTGCCAGCCAATCATAACGCAGAGGCGGGATTTCAGCGCGTCGTCGAGGGGAGGGTTCGCTTGTTTCACTACGTTGGCGTTTCTCCCAGAAAGATTTCGGTGTGGGAATTTCAATTTTACATTTCTGAGGCTGTCGGAAGCTCTTTCCCGGAGACCTAATCCTGAAAGTTTCGCTGTGCTCGTCTAGAGTGAATAAGGTAGGCTGATTAAGGCTGTTTAATCATATCATCGGTGTTTGTGTGTATTTCCTACAGATGATCCCGCATGGATCTGATTGAAGTCTGCAGGAGCACGTCATTATAAGCCGTTGGTCTAATGTCACGTCTTTCAAAAGATAAACCGGTCGGTGTAATATAATTTCCCGTTTATGTGTGTGGGATTGTCACTCTGAGGAAGATCCATGTGAATCAGTGTGTTGAATGAATCGTGTAAAGATGATTTACAGCCATTTCTATTGCTGTGGTGTTTGTAAATGTCGTTGGTGTAAGTTACCGTTACTGTGTGATAACGTAACGTGTGTTTCATATGGACACATTCTCCGCGGCCGTGTCAAATCCTCTATGGCGTCTTTATGTAAGGCTATAATCTCCAGTCGTGATGTTTACAGCGACCACTGTTACCCGCCTGAACTCCTCTGGGTGATGGACGGCAGAACAACAGCGTGTTTTGAACAGCTGGAGGCCGTAATAATCATGTTAACGTGTTTTGTTCGTTGAAATTCAGTGGCACGTGCCCTTAATGCAGCGAGTTGCCCGCGTGGCTGGCGCGCGATCACAGCTTTGTGTGTGTGTGTTTGTGTGTGTGTGTGTGTTTTAAGTGCTTTGTCTGATAGTGTTTTTAACACGCAAAAAACGCGTGGATGACGCGGCGCCATCTTCTGCAGCGTTTCTGTGACGCGAACCTTCTGTCCAGATGTGCATTACACACACACACACACACACACACACACACACTTAACACTGCGCGCGATGGGAAAACGCAGGCTCGATCGACCCTCAAAGTCAAGCCTCATTTTTAATTGCTTCACTGAAATGTTGTAGCATTTGAAGATGTACAGACACTGTAACTTAACCGTTTTTTGGAGGGAAATCATTTTTTAGTTGGTTAATGCTTTCGCAAAGTGCGGGAGTTGCAATCATCTTGTTTTTAGTTAGTATTGCGCTGTATATCTGCGTAAATCGCTTCAAGAACAAGAACAAATGTGGGCGGGGCTTGATTTTGTCCGTGGGGAATTGATTGGATGGTTGTGGTTTGCTATTGGTGGACCTGGTGTGATTGACAGGTTGCCCCGCCCTCGTCATCAGAGAAGAGAAGAGATGCTGCAAGAGGAATATTATTATGAGACGCATGAATTAAACACAATAGATTAGAATAAACACGGCAGTATTTGATTTCATGGTGACTTTAAGGCCCAAAACAATCTCAAAACTAGTATGTCAATCCAGACGGATTCGCAAACGCTCTGTCAGGCAGAACCTCGTGCACTAAAATAGCCTTTCTGTTGATTAATGGTCACATGGCATGCGACTAAAAACTTTCTCTGAGTTGTTTATTTTAATTTTACAGTCGCTAACCCCCCTTAATTTCCCTTGGGAAACAAACTACACAAACTCGGTTTTCTGCTCCATTACATGCACAAAAATCACAATGCAATGCAAGTATGCGTATCTGCACGAGAGATTAAGGGGAAATCTGTGGTGTCAAACAGAGAGTGTGTGCGTATAATACAAAGAGATACAACAGAAGAGACATTCTTATCATTCTGCACACAGAGTTCTGCGCTAAACACAGTGTTTTCTTCTACACATGATAGTGTGGTGCAGTTCCTGTGTCAATCACACTGTCTCTAATGCATACGTGCGCATCATCATGCTGCAAGATTCTGGAGCAAATATTTGCGTTTGTGAGTGTGTATACGTGCAGTCATGTGATGTGTGTGCGCTAATGTTTGACAAGAGCAGCCGGGGCACGGTTTAATTCCCGCTAAACGCTTTTAGGTGTTGTTTTGCCAAACGCCAATGGTCCGTCATGAGAAACGTGTCCCCCGCCCCGCTGGGATTAGCCTGTGGCGAGTGTCAGGGTCTCTAGCGGACCTCGATTGGGTGAGGTTTGAAGGGTTTACTTCCAATTGGATGGTTTTCTGAGTCCACC